ACAAAGATTTGCTATTAAGGAACAGAACAAGACTATCTCAGATGGTCTAAAGGTATTCACTAAAGGAATCCCCATAAAGTTGTATATAATAGCAACGACTCTGGAATATGTGCACAACTTCTCAAGTTGATGACTTTCATTCTTTGGCTATATAAATACCAAAATTTTAAAAATTATCAGTCATACTAGACTTACTATAACTGGTCGTATACATTTCTATGAATGAAATCTCTAAAGCTGAATTTTCCCTTTCTAAAAATAGATGTTTTGACAATTTCAACTCAATATAAAAAAATACTCAATAAGCAAAATGTTCAGACTGCTTAACAAACTCAAATTTAAATTATAAGAGTAAAGATCTGATTTCAAAATTATCATATAGGATATACTGTCTGAATTCTATTTCAGTTATTTGCTTAAAGTTCTTTCCCTATTCAGTTCTTTTTCTTAACTACATTACTTGTAAGAACTGAATGAATTAAGCAACCAAACGATAGTAAGATTTTACTAAAACTAGAAATGTGGAATACTAAATCCCTAAGAACAAATACAAATCAGATTTATAACTCACTAATTACAAGACAATGGGCAATTTTCTCACCTTGCTAGCCTGTTTCATCTGTAAATTGTTAGACGGTAATTGTTTCTATTTCATGAGCTTATTAAAATAATTAAATGACATAGTATTATGGGGACTATTTAACACAATTTCTGTCAAATAATAACCCTCAAAATCTTCTAGTTGGCAGTATCATATCAAGAAATAATCTCTCCTAATAAAATCACTTTGGGAATAAAAGGGATATGTCTTACAACGTAATACAACCCGATAAAACTGAATTCATTAAAATTGACTCCATATTTACACCAAAGTGATATACAAGACAAGTACCTAAAATAACTTTTATTATTTAACTTACATGGGCAAAAAATTCAGAGCACATGAAACACCCTTTAAAATTACAATGACAGACTTAAATAAAGAAATATGTTTAAAACTGCTTTTAAATCAAGTAGAAAGACTAAAATCCCACTTCAGCAATTTTTAAAAATAGTATGAAAATAAACTTTCAGGAGTCATTATGTAATGTTTACTACAAATAAAGTTAATAAACTTAGATTCCTCATGAGGGACATATGTAAATAAACTTGATCAAACACCAAACATATACACACAAGATCAAGATTCCTACTATAAAAGTACTATTTTTATACCAGGAAAATATGACAAAGAGACAGGTCTCTCCAGAGGAGGGAAAAGCACGTTGGGCTCAGATAAGTGAAAAAATCACAAAGGTATCAGTGTCAGCAGTGAGCAGTACCTAGCTTCAGGACCAGAGCTCAGACATTTCTTAAAGCAAGATAATCTAATAAAAAACTAGTAAGAGTGAGGGAATCCCTTATCCTCCCACTGATTCACTACATGAATCTACGCAAATCACGTGACTTCTGAGTGTAAAGTTTTTCACCAAAAAATGGAAATCACGCAAACCACTTTTTTCACAGGGAAATCAAAGTATTTATAAGTGAACTCAGGTCACCTTGAAAAAGACCAATTTAAAAATACAAAAAAAAATTATAAAAGACAATTGCTAAAAATGGGGAAAACTTGTTCAAAAATATTTAAAAATATTTCGTCTGTTGATGAAAGCTAGGCAAGCAAAACTCCTCTTTTCTATTACCTTTAGCAGAAATGTTTATCCCTTGACATACATCTCAGTATTTTACTTAAATAAAAGTTGTAAAGACAATCACAGGTTCATAAAAGGGCCTTTTAAATATTTCCAAGTCACAAGAAAAAAAATTGATCACATAAAAGACCATAAATTACCACCAATGACAACTTAGTATGCTCAGGATATTAAAACAAACATCTTCAACTCAACAGTCAATTACCAGGCTTCCATAAAGTTCCTAGTCAGTCATTACCTATTTGTTTTAAGGTAAGTAAATGTGATAATCAGAAATGAAGTTACACTTCTCTAAAAGGAATTTTTATTTACCTCAGTCTCCCCAGTCACTTCACATAAAATTGAGATTTTAAAAATCCAGAATTACTTACAAATTATGATTTTCCTCATAAGCAATGGGGTGGGGAAAGATGAAATTATATAAAACTCAAACTCTTTAGTTTTTATTTACTTTTGTATTATTAATTTTTACATCTTAATTTGATGGCAAAAATACAATAGGGTATGCCAAAATACAACACAAACGGGTTCAAATGTTTCTGTAACAGTTTTGATGATAGACTGGTATCAAAAAATTAAATGTGAAATTGTTTCAGAAGTCTTAGAAAATATAATTTTGAGTTGGGTAGTCTGGCTCTCAATAAAGAAAATTTCATGTTTGAATTGGTGTAACTCTCTGCTCATATTTTTGAAATTTAATGGTGATCACTATGCAGAAGAACAAAGCTAGGTTTACTACCCTTCTGAAAACTTTTACTTTTCATCCCCAAAGAGAATCTCAAATAGACATTCTTTTTTTCTTCAAATATAACCTTTTTCTTCTTAAAGGTGGATAGAATTATAATAATCCCTAGCACAGGTTCAAAATGCTTTCAAATAACTTTAGTAACAAATTATTGAGTGGCTTTCATGAGGAAGTATCTTATACACTCTTCTCAAAACACTTAAAATAATTAGATACTTAGTATTCAACTTTGATTTACTAGACTTTCACTGTTTACTTTAAAACTGTTTTCAAGTAATTATTCTGTTATTGGTAAGTCAAGCAGATTCAAGAAAAATATAAATCATATTAAGTTGAAAACATTTCTCCAAATAATGTAATAACTAGAATTATAAGATTACTGCAACATTTAGGGTTGTATCCCTTCAGTGAATTAAAGAAAAAAAAAAAGGAAATATAAGAAAAGCCACTGGTGGCCCCAACCAATACCGGGGATCCAGAGCAGCAGTATTCATAATCTCTGGGGAAATACAAAGTATTCCTTCCAACTAAGTGATCAAAAAATCTGAAGTTCAATTACAGGTTTTATTCACAGAAAATTTTACAGTATTTTCTTCTTCAAAAATAACCAATTTAATTGGTTTGGACCAAACAAAAAATATTTCCAGTCTACCTTAAAGAAATGTTTATTCTATGTTAATGAAAGCTATCCCACAACCTATATGACTTATAGATTACTAAACATGCAGAATTGGGAAAGTAAGATCTGGTAAGAACGAATTTAATTTCCAAGTCACAAGAAAAAAAATAGATCACATAAACATATCTAACACATTGATTCAAACATCTGTGAAAGAAAGCTCCCTTTAACTATAAAACTAAAAATAAGTTGCTTCTGTTGATGAAAGCTAAGCAAGCAGAACTCCTCTTTTCTATTACCTTTAGCAGAAATGTTTATCCCTTGACATACATCTCAGTATTTTACTTAAATAAAAGTTGTAAAGACAATCACAGGTTCATTAAAGGGCCTTTTAAATATTTACATTGAAGCCCTTACACGCCTCCACCCCCTAAACCCCATACCCTCTGCTAAAAATGTTTAGTGTGCCTTCTTTCTGTATTCCTTCCCCTCTTTGGGCCCCCATTCACAAGACCCCCACCCAATAGGCCCTGTAGCAAACAGTGTATAACAGGAGCAGGCAGCACAAAGACAGGAATGAGAGATTAGTGGGAGGGAGGGAGGCTGGGATTGGGGCTCAGCAGGAGCTTCAGGCTTTTTAAAATTCAAACTGCTCCCTGACCAATACAAATCACGGACACGCTACTGACTACTACACGGATTTACAGCATTAAAAACATGCCTAGTACGTGACAGCTATATTAACTTCACTCTTTTTAACAGTTATCCATCCATACGTTTGCAGGAAACGTGGAACAATTTATTTTAAGCAGTGCTAAACTAAAAAAATAACCTTCAGGAAAGTTACTTACTCTACAATGACAATAATTTAATGACACAAAAAATTCGAACTAATGTGTAACACCCACTAGTAAAACAAGGGACTTTGTTGATCAGTGTTGCTTCAGTTTAACCAATGAAAGTTTTCCTTTAGCGAATATGAGACAAAGTATCAAAATAGTCTAAGCCAGGTACATTTATTTTTCTGTACAATTTGTGCGTTGAGGACTTTTAAGTTGGTTGGTTTTCCCTCATACCAACCCATGTTACCAATGCCTCCATAAACAAGCTCTAAACATTTAACTTAACTCGTGAACTAAAATTTGTTGACATAGAACTGATATTTTTCTGCAGCATTTAGATACATTTGACCTATTAAAATGACACCTCTCTCATTACACAGTCAAACATCATGGGCACAAACAGCCAATGACAATCCTGGGACTTCAAGAAGATCTGTCCTGACATGAAAGGATGGCACCTTCTGCATTTTTTTTTTTAGCTTCCCAAGGATTTTAAGTATAACTGAATTTCTATCCTTTTAAAGAAAATTGGTTTCACCTGTATCTGAGCACAATTCTCAGAACATTTATAATTCCTTTTTATGCTTCTACACGTTTAGATCAGGAAGTGCCTAAGTGTTTTTTATGTATAGCCGTTTTAAATTGTCCTTATATAACGCATATAAATATAAAGTGGCAGGGTAAACCTGTCAAGTACTTTATACTTGTTTTTAAATAAAAAGCCCATGTGCAGCACACACTGTCAAACAACATAAAAGCTATGGGTGGGGGGCATATGCAGTGTCTACCACACTATGGTTTTCTATAATAAATATGCATGTGGACGATTTAATTTAAAAAAAAAAGAAAATGAGTCTTTATTAACTTTCCAACGTCCAGACAAGTTTTACACAGGGGAAGAATCACCAGCGGATCTGTGTCTAAGTATTTACATTTGTCTCACTAACTGAAACTACTTCCTCCCTTCATGGGGTCACAGGGGGAAGAAGGGGGGTTGTTTGTTTCACTGGGACGTTCCCCACTCCCGGACCAGGAAAGTTGTAAATATGGGGACGATGAGGGCACATTTGCTGTTAGTTGTATTGTTTCCGCCTCCTCACTAGCTACGGCTCTTCTCCCGGGCGAGGCCTGTCACCGACCAGCAGCAGCTCCGCTCAGCCCGGAGCGCTCCTAATCCCCGAGCTCAAGTAGATTCCGCTGGCCCGCGGCCTGCACTCTCCGCCGGGCCTACGCCTCCCCGGCCGCCCGGCAGGAGCCCAGTCCCCGCCACCGGAGCCGGCCGGGAGAGAGTACAAAACCACTGCCACCCAGGGCGGCTGCCACCAGTGAGGAGCGAACTCTAGACTCGCCGCGGAGGAGACCTGGGGCCGCTAAGGAAACGGCGGGGAGGGGAGCGAGGAGGAGAGACGCTGAGGAACTGGCGCCGCCGCCGCCGAAATAAAGAGCAGGAATTTACCTGGGCGAATCGGCGTCTGAATCCAAGGGGAGGCCGAGGCCGCTGTGGCGAGAGACTATAATCCGGGCCGGGAGGGGGGGTGGCTACGGCTCCTCTTCCGTCTCCTCAGTGCGGGGAACATGTAGTGCCGGGGGGAGACCAGCCGAGAAGACAAATCGCTGCTGCTTCTTCCTCCTCCTCCTCCTTCTCCCACATAGAAACACTCACAAACACCCGACCAGGGGCCCGAGCTACCGGGGGGGCATCGCCGCCGGCCCGGGACCAATCCTCCAGTCGGCGGGGGCGTCCCTCCCTGCGGCTTGGTGGTGTCGGGTGAGTCGGTACCGACGGAGGGAGGGGGGGGAGGGCGGGGGGGGAAGGAGCCCTGTGTGTGTCTCTCTCTCGTTCCGTCTCTCCCTCTCAGAACAAAATGCCGACCGGAAGTGCAGCTGCAGGAATGACTCCCTCCGCCGGCGCCAAACACTAACAACCACCCCCTCTTCCCCACTCCACTTCCGCCACCGCCGCCGCCGCCGCCACTTCGGCTCGAGTCCTCCGCGGGGCCGCGCCGCACCACACCTCGCAGCACCCGGGGTCGGGCCGAGGCCGGCAGCGAGGCGGCGGCGTCTCTTCTCTGCGCCCTTCACCTCCTCCGGGCAGCTGTGGATGTTGCCTTTTGTTGTCGATCTGGCAGAGCAGCGTGTTCGTTGTGGCACGGGCGGCCCGGCTCTCCCCGCTCTTTACCAGGAGGCCGGACGGAACGGGGCCCGAGTTCGGTGGTGGTGGTGTGCGTGGGGGACGTCCAGGCACGGATCCGCTCGCAGGCTGCGCTCCCTACCCCAGCTGGTCGTCGTTACGTTTAGAGAGCCGCGCGCCGGGCGGCCACGTAGAGGACGCCTGCGATACGACAGCGACAATGCAGGTTTTTAAATGGTGTTCCTGCCAGCGGGTGGATGGATGTATAGTACCTTTTCTCCTTTTGAGAGGCCGCACTTTACGCCCGACTCTGCATTATTTCTGCGGATTAAGAATTGCAACCCTTGGAGGTGAAGAAGCTTCCCGGCTGGATTGAATTGGAATTGTGTTTGTGAAGCATTTCTTTATGGAAATCTGCAGTCTTTTCTTGCCTAATTTTTTGTTGGCAGTGGTTTTGGTTGTTCCCTGTCGGGATTAAGGCCTGTAGGCGACGCTGTTCGAGCGAGGAGCTGGGGAGCGCGCGCGGGTCGGCGCCCGCCTCTAGGTGTGTGTGGGTGGAGCCGAGCGCGGTGGGGAGCCGCTGGCGGACTGGATGACGGGTGGGCCTGGGGCCAGCTGATTCCAAACTTCGTTTTCCTCTTTTCATTTAAACAGTGGGGTTCTGGACAAAGCTGGAGTACTGTCGTGATTATGTGTACGGTACCATGCTTCTTGTGGTCGCTTATTGTAACCGTATGGTTCCGTAGTTCTCTACTAGGTTTACTTGTGTAAATTAAAAGGGGACTGTTCTTCAGGAAAAAGTGCAGTAGGTAAGCGAATTTTCACAAGCGGGACTAAATTTGTGTTACATTTTCATGAATTTAGATAAATTATGCATTAATTGTATTATGTCCCAATATGCTGAAAGTGGAAAAATTCGCCTACAGGTTATTCATTTTGCCTTAAATATCACTCGAGGGACTAAATCAGATCTTGTCACCTCTTTCGTGGCTTTGCATCTAGCTGAGAGTTAAAGCCAAAGCCTTAACCGCGGCCGAAAGGCCGTGCGCGCGATGGCGGGGAGCTGCCCTGGCATCCTGCAAGCAGAACATCTGCCCGTGCCAATCCCTGTGCCAGGGTCTTTCCCCAACTATCCGTACGATTTGCCCCCGCACATTCAGGACATTTGCTGAGATGTCACCTCGGGGTTTCCGTAGCTACTCTTTAGACGACAACTTCCCCATCCCCTTTTCCCATTTTATTCTTAAGGCATTCTGTGTATCTACATGTTTATTTTTCCCCAATAGAATGTAAGCTCCAGGAGGGCAAGAGGTTTTGTTTTTGTTCACTCGTATTCTGTGGCAAATACAATGCCTAGAATAATGACTGACACACATTAGTTACTTAATATTTGGTTTACTGAAAGAATGACAATTATAATGGCCCTTACTCCCCCCATACCAGTTTCTGAACTCTGTCCCTTAATATATACCTATAGATACCTACATGCTACATAGAACTTTATAAAGGATTTGTGAAAACAAAAATCTAGGGAGAAAATGCAAGTAATTACAGAGTTCTAGAAAAGGCCCTACTTCTAGATATCTGAAAGCCTCCACAACACCAGATGCCCCCAAACCAGTGGTAATTGTTTTTAGGTTTCTGTAAATGGGCTTGTTAGGGGACTGTTGATTAGTAAATCACATGATCATATTCACACTGGGCCATACTAGCTTTGCACTTCCTGAATCGCAAACTGTGTTAATTAGTCTATCTGCCTTTTTCTTGAAAAACTCATACTATTTTCATTAAATTAAAGTATGAGGATTTGGTTGGCTTAGCCCAAATCCAGCACTAGTGGAAAAGTTCATTCAGCAAATATTTATTGTACACAAAATGTGTGCCAGGCACAATGATTCAAAAGGTACGGGTTTCTGAGGCTTTATAAAAAGGACTAACTACATTTGGTTACTTTGATTGCTACTCAATTATGCTGTCAAGTAAAACAAATGCTAGTGAGACTTAACTTTTACAGTTTCCTTCTGAAGCAAAGGTTCAGTGAAAACAGCTCAGGCTTAATGTGGATATTTTAATTCACCTTTTAGTGTGCTGTTCACTTACATTTATTTACCTTATGATAGTACTAGGCATAACAATAACAAAACTGATAACGATTTTTAAAACTGAAACAAACCACTTTGCTAGTGGCTGGGAAAATAAGCCTTTTAAATTAAAATACGTATACCAGTAAATTAGAAGCTGCAATATGCCTTTGGCTATATTACAAATAATCATATTTCATGTATGGAATTTTCAAACAAGGAAAAAAAGTCCTGATAGGCATTTTATAATCATTAATACAATTAGGTATTATTTAGTAAATCCAATAGTCTTTTCTGTGTAAGTTTACGCATTAATCTTAAGAACGTCTTTAAGTAATGTACAGATAGCTCATTGTTTTCACTCAATTTCGAAATACTCTTAATTTGCTTAAGAAAGTACAGTTATCTTCCTGTATACTTTCAGAAATGTTACTGTTGAATTAATAATTTTGCATGTACAGGTAATGAAAGTCTTGGTGTTACTGTAGCATTCAATATAATATTTTAGATGTTACTTTTTAGTTTCTTTCCCTATATACTTAGTATGGACTTACTCGGTGCTAATTAGGTTTATGGTAGGCTTTCTACACATTAGTGGATGAAAATAGACAAAGTCTCTGCCTTTCTGCCTTCAAGGGTTTTACCCTGTGTATAGTTTATATGAATTTTTTTCCAGATCATAGAATTAAAGAAATTGTTTCAGTGGATATCAGTATATTTCTCTATTCAGTTAATCAGTTTTGCTTGCCTACTCGGATCTTGAGTAGAATTTATTAATCTAATCTTAGTGTTTTCTTGAATTCCTTGTTTTGTTTCTTAGATTTTGTTTTTTGTGGGGATTTTTTTGCTTAAAATTTTTCCTCCAACACCATTTATTTTGCTTTTATTTTTTTAAATCTTCATATCCATAATCAGTTGGCTTATGGTGGTCTTATACTTCATTGTTACATCCTTGACTTGTCAGTTCTTAGTTTGTAGGGTGACCCAATAAACCTTTAATCTGACTTAATGTTGCCCCCTTGCTTTGGGTACTGAGTTGCACTATTCATTTTGTTTGCAAAGATTATTCCTGGATATTCCCATATGTATTCTTGATCAATAAATTGTACAGGATTTAATAAAATATTTTATTAATAAAATTAATTCTAAGAACTATTGTATGTCATCAGCAGGAATTAGTCCAAGTGGCAAATTATTATTTTCATTGAAAATATATTTAAGATAACTAGAATTTGTCATAAAATGATAGAAATGAAAAACTTTAGGAAATCATTTTCTGCTATTTTATGCTTACCAGTTCTATCCTTTGTTAGGGATAAAATTACCTCTTATTGGAACAAATTTTTAAAAGAAAGAAAGGATATGTAGTGTACATATTTTGTAGATTATTTCCAACTACCAAAATTATTTCATATTTAGGATAATTAAGTTACTTATAGGATGATTTTTAAGAAACTTTGAAGAGTTCATTATGAATACTGATTTGAGGATAAACTACAAAAACATCAAACACTAGTTTTATATGTTCCTATTTCAAGTTTCAAAGTGAGTACCTTAATCAAATTTGAGATAATATTTATGAAGATTATTGGAAATGAATGGTTTATAGAAATGAATGGTTTTTCCCCAGGATAACTTTTTTCATCTTGGCCATCAAAAACAAGCTTTGTCATTTCAATCCTTCTCAGTTTTAATTGAGGATTTTTGCTATATTTATTGGTACCATCCATTTATCATCCTATGATTTCCCCATATTGTGTACATTTTTGTGCATCTATAACACATACTGGTGTATATGTATATACAGTATATGTTATACTACAAGTTTTACTGTGCATTGTATAAGGTAGAGCCCTAAAAATTATATTTATGAAATATAAATATGAAATTATTTAGGGTCATTAAATCTTCATGAAAGCGTCATCTTAGTGGAACCTACACATGTGCTGAATATGAACCAGAGAATTAAACTACACGTGTATTTTAATCCTAATCTGGAATAGTCTACTGAAAAATGATTTTATCTATGAAGGAGGAATATAAAATCTATTAAAAACTTAACATCTACAAGAGGTATGAAGGGAGGCTTATGATTTATTATCATTTTCAAAACATATCTAGACCATTGTTTTAAAACTAGGGCATGTACCATTATGGGTCATGAAATAAATTTAGTGGATTGTAACTAGCATTTTTAAATAAAAGAGTAGAAAATCTAAGAGCACATTACACTGGTAAAATCTGTATTTTTAAATCTACAGTTGAGGTCTTCTTTACTTCCCCTTTGAAAAGAAAACTAGAAAGTTCTGATTGCCTATGAAATAATGAGGAATTTTAGAGGATGCACTAGGATATTTTAAAGATTTGATAGTAGTTTCAGAAAGTGATCGTAAAGGGTAGGTAATAAACTGTAGTTATGTCAAATATTGTTGAGGTTGTGAGAAAGAATTCCATTTTCCTAGTGGAGCTAAATTTGATGTGTGTAGATCTATGGACTGTTATTGATTTGTTGTGGCACATTTTCTAATCTCAAAAGCCCAATACAGCAAAATAATAAATATAAGGCAAAAGATATGTTTCTTTTTCTTCCCACCTTCCCTTCAATCTTGAAAGTTATTTTATTAACTAGATTAGGAGTGAAAAGCAAACTGCTACCTCCACAGAGTAATTATAAGAACAAGTTATTCCCTGAAAAATGACAGAAACTCCTCTCTCTAAAAAATAATAAACTTTTGAAAGGTTTTTCTCTCTAGCTAAAGTACATAGTTTCTTAAAGTAAATAGTTAACTTTCATTTGCCATCCAACTCATTCCATATATTTAAATAAAGGTACTTAAAATTGTGTACAGATCTTAAAAGGGAAATTTTAAAAGGAGAGGATTGTGTATAGAATTTGAAAGGGAGAGAATATACTAAACAAGTGGGATAAAAAGTATCTACCAAACAAAATAAGATAAGGATTATATTATACTGAAATGTTATAATAAAATTTAAATATTACTTCACATTTCAGAATAGAGTTCAGTATTGTAATGTTGGCTAATCTAAGAGTATTATTTAAAGTTTTTTTCAGACATGATGCCAGCTCCCTTTCACTTGTAGATATTTAACACCTATTTTGGTTAAAATCTTAGCTAAACACAAAATTTTCTAGAGAACTAGTATAAGAATCTCTACCTCAATTATTAAACCGAGCTTTACTCACCCCAAATATTTCACCAGTGCAATACATACTGTATTGAACTAAGAATTATATTACTAACCAGCAGAGGGAGCCACGTCAGTCCTGAAAGGTAGGAGTACAAAGGAAGACCACGTGACTTCCTGTTTTGAGTTTGACTTGTGGCAGCTGTTCTTTCAGATTTTAGTCTACCAAAAAGCCAATGAAAGGATAGAAAGCCCGCCTATCAACATAGCAGATAGGATATGGAGACAATTTTTATTAAAAATTACCTTGCAGGAAGCAAACTGAAAGAAAACATATACTTATGCTTAAATTAAGGAGAGCCCAGGGAAGAGTATGTGGCATAAAAGAATAAAAACCAGATGTTAAAAATTGAATAAGTAAGAAATGCAAAAAGTAAGATAGTAATTTTCTTTCTACTATAGGTGGTGAAACGTAAGTGGATCAGAACAAAGCAATGATAAGCTTAGGAAATTCAAGTAGAAATATAAAAGTGGAAATGTCTCAGTATTGCAACTTAAGATGGTAAACTATAGAGAACAGTACCTTAGACCATGATGAATTACTAGCCAGATGTAACAGTGAATCATTTCTTAAATCCGTTTTTATTTAAAGCTGAAATTAGTCTGTATGCTAGGCACAATTTAAAGTTATAAAGTTTGCACAAATAGATTTACCTTGTATTAAATTTATATGTACTTTGACTATCTAAGAAGGGATAAACTAAAAAAATGATTACAGTGAAATGAGGTGATTTCCACTTTAAAAATAGAAAATCGAACTTTTTCCATTACTCGTTATAAATGCAATAAAAAGTAATACCTGTTTTGTAACATGTTTGGAGGAATATAGCAGCAAAATTATAATTGTACTGTCTGCTCACTTAATAACTAATGACAAACTCAAAATGCCCAATAGAATGATTATTTGAAGTAAAATTGTAAGAGCTGGGTGTTAGCTAATTCCATCAAAGTAAGAAATTTAAAGTCCTAAAAATTTTAAATAACAAACTGAACTATACTAATCTATCCACTTACTCATTGCAAGATTTGTGGAAACATACTGTCCAAAGCATAGAAAGCAATGGATTCAGGCAAGTTTTAGGTGTTAAACACATTTACTTGTGTGTTTATTCATTCCAAAAATATACTTCTTAAAGACTTACCTCCATAGAATATGGAACATAGCTTCATTATGAGCTAGACAAAATTCTTAAATCTTAATGAAAGATTTAACTTCACTGATATTATGTGAATGGTCAGAAATTCAGTATGCAATCCACTGAATCCAAGGAGATGGTACTTAGAAGCAAATCATTTTAACACTGAGGAATAAGAAGGTACAGTCTATACCTCTGTGGGTCAGTTCTTTTATTATGCTATATTATAATATACTCAAATTATAAATATAGGCATTTGTTGTCAAACCAATTAATCCTGGCAATGGTATCCAAGAATAAAAATTCGTCTGATACCAGTCCTGGGAACATTTTAATGCCAAAAATGAAATTCAACTAATATTCCTACTTCTAATTATGTGCTACTTTTGCGTATAAATTGTGCTTAATTTGGGCAACTGGAATTGTATGTATAAACAGCCTAATCTTTTTTTTTTCACTTTAATTTTGTTAATGTTTCCACCTATGGAAAAATAGTGTAATATTTTTAAATTCCATTAATAAAGTGACAATAGCTTTGTCATGAACTATTCCCTAATTAAAAAGAATAATAATTGGTTAACTCATTTCAAAGTCCAATAAATACGAACTTTGTCACCCAAGTCAACATTTTAGAGCCTAAAATACACAGTGTAAGTTTTTCTGTTTTATCCAGTTTTTACTTAATAGTCTAAGTTTTTGGCTATAATTACAAACTCAAAGCCAAACAAAGGAAGGAAAAAAGATAGCTCATATCTTGCCTTATTCCAGAATACCGAATGGTGATAGATTAGGAAAATCACCAAGAGAAGAGACTTTCAGTGAAGAAAATCACTCTCCCTAAAAAAGTTAAATACAAAATTTTAGTCAGTAATTTATACCACGCATCAGTACTGTTTATAACACTGCTTTTTAGACATTTGAAGTATTTCATTCTTTTGAAAGAACAGCATCAAAACCCAAGTTCCTGTAATAGTCATGTTTCTAATTTATCAGCTGCTTTCTGTCTTAGCACTGTTGAATTCTGTGCCTTTTCTAAACCATCTCTTTGATGTAGCTTTCTCAGTATTTCATTCTTCCTAATTCTACCAGCAATATTCATTAGCTTTCTCCAAAACATCCAGATAATTTCTCATCATGATAACCAAACTAGGTAACTTTTGCTTGATGTAAGGAGAACTAGCTTACATTATTAATTTAGAACATCTATATTAGTATTTGACAATATGCAAAAATATTTTTAATTTGGAGAACTTACTGCCATTGAACTTTCTGTAAAATTTTTTGAATATCTATTTTGTGCTAGGAGCCTAGATTGATAATGACTTAATGTTTAATTTTGTGCTTACATTAAATTTTTTTGAGCTGTAATTCTACCTACAGTATTGCTGTAAAAACATTAGTTGTGAAATATGGCTCTTTAAGAAATGTACACCAGAAACTATTTGAAACTATTCCAGCTATGATGTCACTATTATGTTCAATGTTATAAAGTTAAGTATGATCTCTGATTAAATAATTCTCTAATTCTCTATATTTTTTGGAGTATCATGGTATTCTAAGAGTATCAGAAGATGATGTGCTTCTTAAAGAAAGTTTGAATTTGTGTATCTAAAGTTGGGGGACACAGTGTTCTTTACTTATGAATGCACATTTTTATTATTGTAAACTATAGGTCCTTCATACAAACA